CCAGCTCCAGATCGCTAGCCGGCTCGGCTGCGCACGGCGGCGGCAGCTGCCACAGCGTCGCGCTTCGGCTGGCTCCTCGCGCCGCCTCGCCCGCCCTGCCGCAGCCACACCTCTGTGCGCACCTCTTCTCTGTGCGGCGGCTGATTGCCGAGGCGAAGCGCGAGTCTGCGGCGCGCGAGGCCGCCTACCAGGCGTACTTGCAGCAGCAGCCAGGCTCTGAACTAGCAACCAGCAATCAGCAATGAGCCAGCAGTAGTTAGTCGGTAACCGCCAGGCTCTTCACTCGCAATTCGCCATCAACTCGCAATTCGCCACTCGTAACTCACTGGCCGGCAGGCTCGTTTCTTTTCTTTATAGGCTCGCCGCGCGAGAACACGTTCCTCACCGGCCGGCTGTCGCAGCCGCGGGGAGGACACAGCGCGGTCGCGGAGCGAGCGGAGATGGCCGAGGCCGCGAGCGGCGCGTCGGAGGCTGGATCAGGCGCGGCATTGCCTGCCCTCGCCTCTCCCGGACCGGCGGACCGCGAGGGCGGCGGCGGCGGCGGCGGCGGCGATGAAGAAGGTGGCGGCGGTGGTGGTGAGTGCGAGGCCGAGGGAGGCGAGTCGCTTCTCCAGTCGCCTCTTCACGGCTCTCCTATGCGAGGCTCGCTCGGCCGGCCGCTGCGGAGGAAGAGCCGGCGGCCGAGGAGGGAGAGCAAGGCGTGGCCGCTCGATGATTACGGCCCACTCGACCTCCCCTCCGACATCGCAGTCTGCAGGCATCTCCCGGCATCTCCCCATATCTCCCCACATCTCCCCATATCTCCCCACATCTCGCCATTTCTCCCCACATCTCCCCATGCCTCCTCCGACGTCGCGGTCTGCAGGCTCGCCCTTTCCTTCATGACCGCGTGGGGCGTGGACGCCGACTTCGACGCGCGCTGCGCCGCGGAGATCGGCGTGTCGCCTCCCGCGCCCGTGCTTGCGTACGGTGTGCGCGGCCACGGCGGGAGGCTCTCCTTTCTCACCCCCCGAGCTCAGCGGAGGGACCGGCGGTGCCACGCTGGCTTGCACGAGGGCCGGGCCGCTCCGCGAGCGCGCCGTTCACGCCTCGCGGTGTGAATAGGTGGCAGTGCTCGCCGCACATGACCGCGCTCTGGTCGCTCGGCGCGGTCTCGCTCGCAAACACTCTGATGATGTGCCCCGGGTACGACGAGGCGCGGGGCACGCGCTGCTCGCAACGCGTTCACCGCCCGCCTCCCGATCACTGACTCCTGTCCACCCGTGCGACGAGGTGCGAAACACGTGCTCGTCCGTGGTGACGCACTTCTCGGTGACGGTACCGGAGGCGATGCCGCAGCTGGCCCCTCCAGGCGCCTCTTCTCTGTCAGCGATGAGCTGCTGCTAGTCAAGCGTAGGCGATGCCGCAGCTGGCGCCCCCCCTCTTTATTCGTGGCTAGTAGTTAGTGGAGTAGTCATTCGTCGTAGGCGATGCCGCAGCTGGCGCCTCCCTCGCTCTCCTTCCTCGCGCGCCACTACTGCGATCCGACCGAAGAGGTGCAGGCTGCGGCGCGCGCGCTGCTCGAGGGCGCGCTGCAGCGGATGACGCCGCAGATGCGGCAGCGAGTCGTCAAGGCGTGGACTCCTCGGCTGGTGCCGCCGCCGCACCACCCGCCGCAGCCGACACCGCCCAAGGCCGCCGCCGCTCCCGCGCCCTCCGCCGCGCTGTCCCGCCGGCAGCTTCTCACGACGACAACCACCGAGCTGCACGCTGCGCAGCCGCCCGCCTCGCCCGCCGAAAAGCCGCTCCCGTTCGAGCTCACGTCGGCGCACGGGGTGGCGGTCCTCGTCCTCGGCGTCCTCGTCTGCCGCTTCGGCGCCGAGGCTGACCCCCGGATACACGCAGCCCTCACCTCGTCCCTGACACGTCCATGACACGTCCAATAGGCGCCGAGGTTGACCCCCGGATACACGCGGCCCTCACCTCGTCCCTGCTCGCGCTCCTCGACTCCCCCTCCGAGGAGGGACGCCTCGCCGCCGCCGACCTCCTCTCAAAGGCCTCTCTCCCTAACCCTAGCCCTAGCCCTAGCCCTAACCCTAGCCCTAGCCCTCTAGCCCTAACCCTAGCCCTAGCCCTAACCCCAACCCTGACCCGTCCCCTAACGTAAACCCTAGCCCTAACCTCCTCCCGCTAACCTCCTCTCCAAGGCCTATCTCGTCTGGCGCTCGCATCTCCCGCAGCCCGCAGCACTGATCCGCACTCTCTTCAACTACGCGGCAGCTGCCGCCGCCGCGGCCGCCGCCGCCGCCACACGGCCCGCGGCGCAGGGGTCGGGGGGCGAGGAGGCGCCGCCACCGCAGCCGCCGCCGAACCGCTTCCTGTACCACTCGGCCCTCATCCAAGTCGGCGTCTGCGAGCCCTCCCTCTTTTGTGCGGAGATGGGCGCCGCCGCGGTGCGAATGGGGTCGCCGCCTCGCGTGCGGCTGGCAGCTGTCGCATACCTCATCTCGCTCGTCAAGGCGCCGACTAAGTGGACCCAGTCTTGCCCAGTGACTTAGCTACTGACCTCATCTCGCTCGTCAAGGCGCCTGGAGAGACTCGAGGTTAAAGTTCACGCGGACTTGGCTTGTGACCCTGTCTCGCTCTCGTCCAGGCGCGCACCGCGTCGCTCGAGCCGGCGCTGCCTCTCGTCGTTGAGGCCGTCCTCCGCCTTGCTCGACCACCTCCGAGACACCTCCTAGACACCTCCGAGACACCTCCTAGACACCTCCTAGACACCTCCTAGGCCGTCCTCCGCCCGCTCGACCCGAGCGTGCCCTCGTTGCGCGAGTCGTCTCTCGGCGCGTCGACCACCGCGCTGCGAGAGCTGGTGCGCCGCTACCAGGCGGTGCACTTGAACCGGCCTGGTGACACGCCATGGACATGTCACGGACGTGTCATGAGGTGCGCCGCTACCCGATGGTGCACTTCAACCAGCCGACACAGCGGCTCGCCGTCGGGACAGCCGAGGGGGTGGTGCTGCTCTACGACCTGCGCACCGCCACAAAGTGGCGCATCCTGCAGGGGCACGAGGCGGCCGTCACCGCGCTCGCCTTCGCACCCGCCGGTGACGCCTCCCTCGCCTCCGCCCAGCCTGCCGTCGCGTGACGCGATATCGACGCCCGCTGTGACGTGGACGTGGCTCGCGGCAGGCGACACGCTCGCGTCCTTCTCCGCGTCGGAGGCGTCGCTGCGCTGGTGGGCGGCCGGCTCGTCAGGCCCCCCCCCCCCCCCCCTTCCCCCCGCGTGTGCGGCTGCGGAGGAGGAAGTCGCTGTGAGAACAGACCGCTGCTCTGCGAATAGGACTCTTCTCTTTCCTCGGCCTGCAGGGCTCGTGCCTCGGGGTGACTAGGGTGGACTGTGCGCTGCCCGACGCACCCGGTGCGCGCGTCAAGATCGAGTGGGCCTCGCCCCAGTCGGTGGGCATCACGTGCGACAACGAGGCGCTCGGTTTCTTCACGCGGCCGCCTTAGCGGGCTCTCAATGGGAGCTGCCATGCGGCGATTGCTGAGATCTACTTGTGTGCGGCCATGCATTGTGTGTGTGCCGCGCACTATGTCAAAACTACAGGGGTAGGCAATGAAACGGAGCTTTGCGCCCTTTCCCACCCGCCGGGGGGGCACCCAGGCCGGCCACCTGATCGGTAGTGGTGGACGGGAGGCGCGAACAGCGCCATCTTGGGGTCTACACGCCGACCAGTGCTCCCGTCAGTGACCAGGAAGAGGGGCTGCGTGGCCTTCTCAGCCGCCGGCCGCGCGTCCGTGTGGTCTACAGTTAACGAACCACGAGCCCTGCTTCCGTTTTAACACAAATTGGGTGGCGAACTCGGCGCCCATAGCTCTGGCTCGAGTTTTAGCGATTATGTCGCGAAACGCATTAGCCGCTACATCGAAATTGCCGAGGTAGCCGAAATCACAGCTTCCGCTGTAGCGGCTAATGCGTTCTCCGAGGTCATGATCGTGGGCGGAAAACGAACCGGCACCCCGGCGGGGCACCTTACGGGCTGTGTTAAAACGAGAGCTAAGGTCCCGATTTCACAGTGGGCCGCAGGAAAAGACACGCGATGAACCCGCACCCATCGAGCTAGCTTCGAGGCGCCTTCAAAGCAGGTCGCAATGGCGCCGAAGAAGAAGCCTGCACACGGCCGCAAGGCCAAGGGCGTCATGCAAGGCGCTCATCGTCCTCCAAAGGAGGTCTCTGGTGCAGCCGGCTCGCGCGGTCCGTCTGAGCCCTCGTCACGATCGGAAGCACCACAATACGAGGCTGTCGGCGGCGAGTGGGTGGTGTGCCAAAAGCAGACGCGCAGTCAGCGAGCTGAAGCCGCTCAAAAGGCCTCTCGCGCGTCTACCGTCCAAAAGGCGCGGCTGCCCGCCGCAGCCGCCGCCTCCAAGGCTGGGCAGACCGCCTCCGCTTGCGTTCGCCAACCCGGCTACGGCAAAGGTCGGTCACCCGCGACCGCCACAGGCGCCAGGACGGCGCAGCGGCCTCGCCTTGAGGACTCGCAGCTGACTAGCGCCGCTGGCGTCGCGACGGGTAGCCTCAGCGTGCAGCTGGCGGAGGCTGCGGCCGCAGACGCACTCGAGGCCCTCGAGACCGGTGTGCAGACTAGGCAATCTGCGTTGGCGAGGTCGCAGCTGCTGCGAGCGCAGCGGGCGGAGATTGAGACTGCGCTCGCCAATCTGCGCGAGCTCTGGCAGGAGAAGGAGCGCGACATGCTGCGCCTGCTCTCCAACCCGCAGGCTGCGTGGGGCACAGATGCCGTCTGGCAGCTGTCCATGGCCGAGTTTGCCTTGGAGACCATGGACGAGAACGCCGTCGCACTCAAGCCTCGCCGGCTAGGAATGTGCTTTCGCGCGCTTGCCGAGCAGGCGCGGCACCCCGACGAGATCCCGCGCCTCCGCGGGCTGTACGAGCTGCACGCCCTCCACGCGGTGCTGCAGCGCAGCCCCAGCCTCCAGCGCGAGCTGCGGGTCCAGCTCGAGCGCTTTAAGCGACAATACTGCTCGTTGCTGCGCGGCGCCGGACGCTTTCGCACGCTCGAGGTCCTGCCCGGCGAGACGATCCTCGAGCTTATGCGGCGCACTCACGTGGCCATGCTCTCGTGGCGGCCTCCCGGCAGACCCGGCGCGGCGGCGTCGACCCTGGCGCTGCCCGCGAGCCGAGCGGGGGGTATCTACCTCCCAGAATGGCGAGAGGAGACGAACGTGCTCTACCATTCGGCGGCGGGTAAGACCCTCTCGCTGCGTGGCGCGCAGGGCGTCGCCACGGCCTGCTCGAAGCGGTACCTGAAGTCGCTCCCGGAGGCGGAGCGGCCGCAGCACGAGAGCCACGAGACGGTCCGCTTGCACGACATGCAGTTCTGGTTCGTGCAGCGCCAGAGAGCTGTGGAGAACTCCTTCTCGAAGCGGCGAAACGTGCTGCAGTGGGACGAGGTGACGATCAACAAGGTGGCCTGGGTCGTCGTCACGCTGTCGTGCGAGAGGCTGCCGGCGCTGCGTGAGCGCGAGGTGATCGCCACCTTTAAGCTCCGGCCAGACGCCGATGGCCACAAGAAGACGGGCGTGAACGTCGGCGCGAGCAACGTGCGCGCGGTCAACGAGCTCGGCCTGCCGATCGATCGGATCGACTTCTGCGTCTCCGACGGCACCGCCTCCAATGCCAGCTTGACCATTGCGTCGGAGCGGCACAAGGGCGGCGCCTTTGCGCACATCTGGACCTCGATGCGTGCGGCAAAGCACGTGCTGTGCTTTTTTATCCTCTGCTTGTCCCACGTGATCAACAACGAGGTGAAGAATGTCTGCGAGGCGGCTGGTGCCTGCCGCCGCGAGCACCTGCTCGCGCACTCGGGCTCCACCAAAAGCGGACGGCATCGCATCCCGGAGGCGCGCCACGCCCGACGTAAGAGGCGCTCACACACCCCTCCAACGCTTCCCCACGCTCCCTCTGACGCAGCTGCTGGCCGACGTCGTGCTCGCCGTCAAGGAGTCGAAGGGCTGCAAAAACTATGTCCGCGTCTCGGAGGGGCTGGCGCGTCTCGGCGACATGCCGGGAGGCGTGGACACCCGGTGGCTCTACTGGGTGTACACGTGCATGTGGCTGGCGCCCACGACGCGGCGCCTCGAGCTGATCGTGTGCTGTCTCTTGCACGAGTGGCTCTGCGCGCAGGGCGACGAGGGGCTCTTTGCCGACGCCGAGCAGACCGACGAGTTCGGTGAGAAGCTGGCGCTGTCTGGCGCCACGCTGCTCGAGAAGGTGAGCTCGATCAAGGACGCCGCGCGGCGCGAGCTGCTGCTTGAGCTCCTCGACCCGGAGATACGCGTGTGGCTCTCGTTCCTGGCCATCTACGGCGAGCGGTCGGCCGACCGCTTCCTCAAGTTTACCGAGAACGACGGGCCGGGCGTGGCGTTCAAGGCACCCCGCGTGCTTCGCCTGCGGCTCGCCTACCTCGACGCGCTCGCCAGCGACAACGACGAGACGCGCGACCTCGAAGGCGGCCGTCCATGGAAGGGCGACTTTGCGCCGCTGCGAGCAATGGTCGCCAAGAACACGGCGGCGTTCTCGCGCCTGGATGTGCGGGCCATCGTGCGCAAGGCCGCACGCGCTGCTTCTACCTACTTCCGACAGCACACGGCAGCGTGGCGGACGAACCCCGCGCTCGTGGCGCTGGGAACTATGGACGAGGAGGGAGAGCATGCTGTTCTCTCGGCGCAGGAGCTGCTGGCGCTCGCGAAGCAGGGCCGGGGAGGCTTAATCCAGAGCATGCTGCCGCACCTCCCCGACTCGGCCGATGCCACCGAGCTCAGCGCTGCAATCACCAACGCCACCGAGGGGGTCGGCCTCTGGTTTCAGGACGACGCCCTCGGCGTCTTTAAGCTGCTGGCAAGCTGTAAGCGGCCGACGCAGCTGCGCGACGTGGCGGGCGGTAGCGACGTCTACGATTCCATCTGGAGCGTCGGCGTCTTTGTGCCGATCAGCAACTTCTTCTCGGAGACGGTCGTCAAGACGCTCTCTCGCGATTTGCACGGGACGCAGCGCCGGTCGGAGATGTGCGCGACAAGGCTCACGGCACCGCGGCACCGCGGGCACGTTTACCCGACAACGGCAGCCGATTGGAGCGCCGCGTCGGCCGCTCTCGGACACAACGTGTCCAAGCGAGTCACCGAGAAGGAGGGCCTCGCCGCGCAGCTGCAGGATCTCCGGCTCGACAGCATGGAGCTCTCGGCGTTCGTGGACGAGCCGCAGGAGGAGGAGGAGGAGGGCGGGGCGGAGGAGGAGGGGGAGGAGGGCTCGGGCGAGGCCGGAGGCTCGACCGACGCGGCCGACGGCGGGACGGCGAGCTCGGCGGAGGGCGAGGGTCGCCAGCCGGGCTGGCCGTTGGAGAAGGGCGTGAGCACAGCGGCGATCCGGAGGTCGCTGCAGGTGGGGAACGTCGTGGAGGTCCTCTGGGCCGTCCGGCAGGATGGAGACCCAGAGGTGTACCTCGCTCGCGTCGAGGAGGTCATGAGAATCAAGATAAAGATTCGCTGGCTGCACGAGGATACCGAGGAGGAGAACGTGTACGTGGAGTGCCCGTTCTTCACCAAGGTGGAGACATGGTCGATGAAACAGCTGTGGAACCCTGTCTCTGATGTGAGCCAGATTGGCTCGGCAGAGGCGCCTCGCTGGCGCCGCAGCGCGATAGCTGAGGACGCCGAGGCGGCTAGAGCCGCTGCCAACCGCGCCGAGGGTGGGGGGGTGTCGTGGGACACGATCATATCAGACATGGAAGCCCGCAGGAAGGGAGAAGAGACGGGAGGGGAGGACGAGGTCGAGGACGAGGCGCTGTTTGCCGGCAGACCCGGCTCCGACGACGAGGAGGTGGAGGTCGAGCTGGTGGAGCCAGAGCTACAGGGACCGCCCCACTTGCGCGTCGGCGAGGCTGGCTACATCTCATCTTACCACCGGCAGTGGTTCAGCGACTCGAACCTCGCCAACGCACACTACGTAGACGAGCGTCCAGACGGCGAGAGTGGCGCCGACTCGCCGCTGCGGTACAACTACCCCCGCGACGTAGCCTCGGCATGCAGCATCTTCCGTCAAAGAGGAGGGCAGCGGGTGCTGCAACTCTGCGACTGCGTGATGTTGCAGCAGGTCTGCGACGGCGCCCATTGGCACAACGTCGCGCTCATCGGGCCTCAGCGGCTCGCCGTGCACTGGGAGCCGTTCGGCACCAGCATTTTCAGCCGCACGCATCCTCTAGCGCGTGTTCGGGACGCCTTCGACGCGGCGCCAAAGGACACGGGCTGGCAGCTAGTCAGCGTGACGCTCAACTTGCAGAGCGACGGCTACCAGTGCGGGCCGTGGGCGCATTGGTTCCGCCGCCGCCTCTTCGCCTACTGCGCGGACGACGAGCTGATGAGCAAGCAGTCCTTTGCCGAGTACCTCTCGACCAGCCCGGGCATCAGCCCGCTCGGAGCGCTCAGGACCAGGAGGGAGCGAGAGGCCGCCGGCGCAGCAAACACGGCCTTCATGCACGAGGAGCGCGTGCGGCTGCGCTGGCTCCTCCGGGCAGCGGCGCGAGAGGACGCGCTTCCCTACGAGCATCCGCTGCAGGACGCCTTCCGCCGAGCAGGGGCTGCGGCGGCAGCGCGCGCGGACGCGGTCGTGCTCGACGAGGGCTTGGAAGGCGATGAAAAGTACTTCGACCTCTGTGACGACTCGTGACGGCCTGCACAGGTCGCCCTGGTCGCCGTCGCCGTCTCGCCGCCTCATCCGCCAACACGGCCGTCGCCGCCAGGGCCGCCACTGCCATCGCCATCGCCGTCGCTGCTTCGCCCACCACTACCAGGGCCGTTGCTCTACCGCTCCCCAAGCGTATTGCCGGTGCTGTCACGGGCTGCCACTCCTAGTACCTTGCTGCTCGGTCGCGTTCAGTCTAGGTCGACACGCTACCCTGCCGTTCGGGCGCCGCTCACCGCTTCGCAGCGAGCCCGGGCTCTGTAAACATCTCCGTCGCGAGCTGCGCACGCCCCGCGGGTCCGTGTGACTGTAGCTGTATCTCCCAAACATCTCTCACAGCTCAAAGCGATCTCCCCTAATCTCCACGGCTCGAGATTGCACGAGATAAAAACGGCGCTTTCGAGGTGGTTCGCCGGAATCTGGATAGGGGAGCGCGTAGAACGCGCGCTGCTGGTGTGCACAGAGCCCGGGATGGCCAGCATCCGCCCTCGTGGTCGCGAACAGCGCCGGTCGGCGCGTGCGGCTCTGGCAGCCGCCCGGCCGCGTCGGAGCTGCAGAGAGCGGCACGCGGCCCGGTGCCGTTCGGGCGCCGCTCACCGCTTCGCAGCGAGCCCGGGCTCTGTAAACATCTCCGTCGCGAGCTGCGCACGCCCCGCGGGTCCGTGTGACTGTAGCTGTATCTCCCAAACATCTCCCGCAGCTCAAAGCGATCTCGGCCTAATCTCCACGGCTCGAGATTGCACGAGATAAAAACGGCGCTCTCGAGGTGGGGCGCCAAGATCTGGATAGCGGAGCGCGTAGAACGCGCGCTGCCGATGTGCACAGAGCCCGGGATGGCCAGCATCCGCCCTCGTGGTCGCGAACGGCGCCGGTCGACGCGTGCGGCTCTGCGTCAACCAGTACGGAGCCCGAAATGCGTCCAAAAGTAAAAAAATCAGCTTTCCGCGCCTCTTCACTGCTCACCGCCGCGCAGGCGTGTTCCGGGGGCCCAGTGGAGCATTTCATCTAGTGGCGGCACCAGCTCTAGAGAAATTTATAATTTCTCAGTGGGGTTTTGACATAGTGTCGTGCAGGTGCGGGGACAGGTCCCCGGATTTCCGTTAACTCACACAGCATGTGTCAAGATCCGCAATGAGCACACAGTTCCACACCCTTTACGAGCAGCCGCGCTCCGCCCCTAGCCGTAGCTGGTAGCTCCGCCCCCTCGACCCGTCGACCCTTCGCGCGTCCCAGAGTGAGAGAGCTTCGCCTGCCAGCATCCAGCATTTTTTTTTCGTATGCCGCGGCGGTCGCGGATGTGGGTTGAGGAGTAATCGAGATCTCTGCGAGAGAGTAGTAGATCGCAGACAGACGATCGCAGACCAGGAGTGGAGATCCTAGCCGATTCTACCGCACAGTCGGGCTTGGTTGAAGATGGAAGATTGAGATCACAGATTGTGGATCGTGTTGGCAGTTGCCAGGGTCAAAGGTGGAGATTGGAGATGGAAAACACAGATCGCAGATCCTCGCGCCGGGCATCCATCACTGGGGCGGAGATTGGAGATCGAGATTGGAGATTGGAGATCGCAGCTGGCGGCGGCAAGCGGGGCGAATCGCGGGTCTGCGCCCGCGGTGGCGGCACAAACCGGTGCGCGAGCTCTGGCCGCGCCGCGAGCGCAGCCCAAGCGAGGCAAGCGAGGAGAGCCATCGCGGCGGCCGCCCGCCAACCGCTAGGGAAACGAGGCCGCCCGCTTGCTGTGCCGGTCTGCTCGGGCCAGAAGGTGAGGCCGACCGACGCGTACGCGCGCTCTGCGCGCTCGACTCCCTCACGGCCGCCGCTCGCCTCGAGCGCCGCCCGTGCCGCCGCCTGCCTCTCTCTGGCCTCGCGCACCATCGCCGAGGTTCGCTTCGAGGGCGGCAGGTAGTACCCGGCTGGGTGGATGCCCGCGTCAACGCGTGACGCGTCCTTCTCCCCAACCATGGCGAGAGGGTCGCCCACGCGGAGAGTGCCGCCTGCAACCACTTCGCACGAGACGCCAGAAGCCATCCACACCGCCTCCATCATGCCGGGGCAGCCCGCCTTGCGCTCGTTGTAGAGGCAAGGCACGCAGTGACGGTGCACGAAGACCCTCGCGTCGCCCACCTCGACCGTCCGTCCGACGGCGCTCAGCAGCTCCTCTGCGCTGATGCCTTTTAGGACGATGTTGCGGCGAAATTCGAGGCACGGTGGCGGCTTGACACCGGCGCGTTTTAGCGACGCCTCGACGCCGTCTGCGCTCACCATCGTCAGCTGCCGTCCGGGCTCGCGCTCGCCCGGAGCCTTGGCTGAGGCACGTAGCGCCGAATAGGTGCCCGTATGAAGAGCGTATCTGTCTCCCTCAATCCCGCGGCCCTCTATGAGCGTCGCGGAGAGGAGGCTCTCCATCGGCGCCGCGGACGCTGGCGCTATGTAGATGCCTGCGACGCGCACGCCGACGGTTCTTCGCGCAGGGCTGCGGCTGCGAGGCATGCGATCGCCACAACCCACACGAATAGGTGCGGTCAAGTGGTGGTTGAACAAATGGTGCCGGCTCCTCTGGGTCTGTTCTGTCGACACTCCCCAGATAGGTAGGTAGGTTGGTCTTGTTTCGCCCAGAAGGGCCCTGCACGGCAATATGGTATAGGTACCCCCTCTTTTCCTCTTTTTTCGCTTCGCTGCGCGGCCTGGGGATAGGTAGGTAGGTAGGGCGTTTTGGCGCGAGTCAGTGTCGACAGACCCCCTGCCTGTCTGGGTAGGAGCCGGAACCCTGATAGGTGGAGGAGAGGAGGGGCCGATTTTTTTGCGAGTTCTGCGACAGACCGACTAGACGGCTGAGCCCGAACCCTGCGGATGCTGGTGTCGCGGAGGAGGGTTGTTGGATAAGCCCTCCGCGGTAACTCGGGGCGATTGGAGCCGCGAATGGAGCTCGCAACGGAGTGACGAGGCGCATGTAACGACCCCCGGGGGTCCCGATAATCGAATTGAGGAGGACGGGCGGTCCCAGTGTGTGTAACGAACTCTCTGAACGCCACACGAGCGTCGTGTGAGAGCCTCGGAGAGAGGCTCTGTCGTTCAGTCTCGGGCCGCCGACAGGCTCGACTATCTGCTGCTGCTCGCCGTCGCCGACGACTTTATCGGCCTCATCATCATCGCGCTCGCCTACCCCGACCCGCTCCACCCGACGCAGTGGTCGTGGGCCACAGGCCTGTTCGGCGTGTTCGCCGTCTGCCTCTTTCTGCGCGTCTGCATGCGCAAGGTCGCGTGCGTGCAAAAGTGGTACGTCTACGTGGCGCTCGGCGGCGTCTTCTCGTGGATCGTCCTCCTCAACGCGCGGCTACACCCCGCCCTCGCCCTCGCCTTTGTCGTCCCCTTCATGCCTGCCGATGGCCACCACGCCGCGCTGCACGCCTTTGAGCACGCCATCAAGGCGCCCGTCGACCTCGGCATGTTCTTCTTCACGCTCGCCAACGCGGGCATCGACCTCAAGGGCGGCGTCGGCGGCCTGACCTTCTCGGTGCTGCTCGCGCTCGCGCTCGGCAAGGTGCTCGGCATCGCGGGCTTCGCCTACCTCGCGCACCGCTTCGGCGTCGCGCGGCTTCCCGGCTCGATGCGCGTGACGGATCTGCTGATGGTTGGCATCATCGCGGCCGTCGGCCTCACGGTGGCGCTCTTCATCTCGGGCGAGGCCTTCACAGACGAGGCGCTCGCGGGCGAGGCCAAGATGGGCTCGCTCCTCTCAATCTGCATGGGTGCCGTCGCTCTCGCGCTGGGCCAGCTGCCGCACTACAAAAACCTGGCCGCCTGCCCGCCCCCAAGGAAGGGCCTCGCCTTCTCCGACAGCAGCATGGAGGAGTACGACGAAGACGACCTGATCAACGCGGTCACCTCGTCTCTGCAGCGCTCGATGCTGCACCGCAAGGCCTTCCTCGCTGGCGACCGCTACTTTGCCGACACTCGGCAGCAGAAGCTAAAGTCAAAGATCCCAGAGCTGCTGCCGGACATCACGCTGGAGCCAGTCAAAGAGGCTGGCGAGGCTGGCGAGGGGGCCGCGAGCGGCGACCACGGCAAGTCCGACGCCAGCAGCAGCACCGATGAGCTCCGTCTGTGAGAGACGGCTTCCCGTGGAGGGAAGGGCAGCACAGCGAAGTTCGCTGTGACCAATGCGTACGTTGCCATGAGATGTGACCCATGTCGCCCCCGCATCGTGCAGGCGGAGGGTTGCGGTGGATTGTGCGGGGCCCACCGTGCATGTGCTGCGTGGTGAATTTGTCCTCATGGGACCCCTGCCGTATGTGCTTCACTCTGAAACCATAAAAGGGAAGACTGCAGGTGGCAGCAGGAGCAGGTGGCACCACCAGATGTGAGATGAGACCAGTGCCGTTAGTTTCTTAAAATACAAGCTTCTCTCACAGCAGCTGAGTTGACAAGGGCGTGGTAGGCGCACACTATTACGGCCGGAAGCGAAGAAGAAAATCGCGACCCGACGGTAGGTTCCTACCTTGATGATCTGCTCGCGCGATCCATCCCAGACGCTGCCCCACATTGTGTAGCTTTCACGACGTCGGATATGGCTACGCTGCCGTCAAACTGGATGCAGAGCTTGCAGGTTGGTATGCAGCGCATGATGGATCCGGAAAAAACGAAAACCTTCCGGCCAAAGTCGAAGCTAAAGGCCGGCTCGCGGCTCGAGCGCATACACACGCTCGCTCAGAGGACGCTCGGCACGGGCAGCCTGCGCGAAGCCGTGACTCTGCCCCCCGGGGAGAGCCTCAACGAGTGGCTGGCCGTGAAGACTCTCGACCTGTTCAACGAGACCAATCTCGTGTACGGCTTCGTTTCCGAGTTTTGCACAACGTCCTCGTGCCCGATCATGTGCGCCGCGCTGCCGAACGGGTCCATCTGCCACTACGCGTGGGCCGACGAGAGGATCAAGCAGCCTGTGCAGCTCAGCGCGTGCGACTATGTGAGCCACCTGTTTGGCTGGGTGCAGCGGCAGCTCGACTCGGAGGACATCTTTCCGACCGAGCCTTCGCGGCCCTTCCCGGCCGACTTTCGCAGCATCGTCAGCCAGATATTTCGCCGCCTTTTCCGCGTCTACGCGCATGCCTATCACAACCACTACGAGCGGATGGTCGCGCTCTCCTTCCTGCCGCACATCAACACATGCTTCAAGGTCTACGCGCGCCGCCCCCGCCCCTCCACCCCCCTCACCCCCACCAGGCACCGCGCCGGCACCGCCGCGCTCCGCCCCGCCGCCCACTCCCCGCCGCCCTCCGCCGCCGCCCGCAGCACTTTATGTACTTTGTGCTCGAGTTCGACCTCATCCCGCGCAAGGAGGAACTCGCGCCGCTGCAGCAGCTCGTAGACAAGCTGCTCTCCGCCGACGAGCGAAAGCGCAGCTGACGAGGCCGTGGGGACTGGACGTGGTCGATGTATTGGATGCGAGTAGGAAAAGTTGTGGGGGTGGGTGGGAGTGGTCGGTCACGTTTTCCAGGATTCCGTGACCTCTCGTATTGTACCCCATCTTATTGGAAGCTTTTGGTTACTAGATACTCTACTCTACCAGGCCCGCTCCAGCACCAGGGTTGGTTGGGCAGGGGCGGGGGTGCACTCTGCACAGCGCCGGGGCGCGGGGCGCGCCGGGGCCGGCGACCTCTGAGCGAGCGGGATGCGTCATGCGATGACGCTGGTCCTCAAGCTGGTCGGGGCCGCCATGTGGGCCTCCGGGCCTGCTGGCTGCTGCGGGGGCGGCGCGGCCGGTTGAGGCCGGTTGAGGCCCGGCCCGCGACGGCTGGCCGCCGACGAGCGCGCTCGCGCTGCTCGTCAAAATGGCGGCGGTGTCGATTGCGGCGACGGTCGTTCAGTCGTTCAGCGCTCAGGCGCCTGTCGTCTTTCGTCTTTTGTCGCATTTCGCACACGCGCGCGCCGCGCGACCCGCGTCGCTCCGCGAGGGCATGAGCCTTCCGCGATTCGATCCCGCAGCCAAAAGCTGCTCGCTCGAACCGCGGCCGACTCCGCCATCGCGGCCGCAGCTGTTGAGCTCTCCAGAAGACTGGCTAGAAGACTGGTGCCTGATATGCTGCCTCCGCCCTCCCTGTGGATGCTGCCGGCGAGCCTGGCGGTCCGCTGTACTACAAGGATGTGCTGACTCGATCCTACCCCGAATTCTTCTACCCCCGCGACTCGGAACGCGAATGTGACAGGACCATCGGGTCCTTCGGCCACCAAAGCGAGATCACCCGAGAGCAGCTGAGTCTGCCTCTGGCCTCGCCTCCCTCTCCTTCAGGCATTCGTGGCATCCTATGGGTCGTCCAGAGTATCGACCTCTGGCTTGTCACATGTCAGCCGGTCACTTGATGACACCATGAAGTACACCGATCGCCATCTCGCTGGCCTCTCCGCAAGGCCCCCCGACCGCGTCGAACTCATCGGCGCGGGCTCTCTCGGCTACGGGACCGGCCCCAGCTTCGCCTTCGGCTGAGGGCTGACAAGCTGCCGAGCCCAAATGCAAATCACTGTGAGAGTCGAGAGAGTATGAGAGAGAGTCGTGATTTCTGGTTGGTCTTCAAAAATCTCTCTGGTTCTCCGCAGTCTCGCTGCGTGGCCTCAGGCAAGGCTGGCGCTTCCGAGTCCATCCGTTTGCTGGAACGGATTCATGCCACATGCATGCGGCAGCTTCACTTTGCCCTGTTCACGCGCGCGCGAGACGTGCAAGCAAGATAGAAGGTGAAGAACAGCTGGCTCGGACTTTCAGAGGTACCTTTTTAAACTGTTGTCGAAGAGAAAATAATTTCTTCGTGGACAGGCGGGAAGAAAAAAGAAACAATCTAGGAGCAGAAAGAAAAGAAAAACCCGGGCACAATCATCGGCTCCACAAGCCACAGCGAGCTTGCCCGCCCTTGCCACAGAGCTTGCCTGCTGGCGCCCCACCCGCCCGACCGCCGATTCGCCCCGCCGCGCAGGCGTGAGCACGTCTTTCAAGCCGCCCCAGGGTGCATGCGAAGAGGAACGCGCGCCGGCGACGCGGCTGCGCTGGGGCGGCGTCTGCCGTGGCTGGAGCGCCTCGTCAAATCGAGCGAGGCCAGCGCCTGCCTTTCGCTCTGTGGCAACCACGCCTCGACTCTCACCTCCGATGCCGCGGGCGACATGGTCGAGTGCCGGGTGCGGTGCCAGGACGGCTTCCCTCTGGGGCCGACGCTCGAGTTCCAAGTTGCTGAGGTCTTTGGCGATGACGCCGGACGCGCCATCGCCTTTCGGCCGATGCACGACCCCACGCGCCTCATCATCGCCTTTCGGGGCGTCCGCGTCGAGCGCGA